TGGGGGTCGCGGGCCGGAGACGCCCTTTGTGGGACACCCGCGGCCGCCCCTCCCCAGCCTAGGCCGGCAGGATGTCTCTGGCGGACGAGCTGCTGGCGGATCTGGAGGAGGCGGCTGAGGAGGAGGAGGAGAACTTCGCGGATGAGGAGGATGAGCCGGCCATTGAGGATGTGCAGGAGGAGATGCAGCTGGACCTCACGGTGGACTCAGTCAAGAGTATCGCCAAACTCTGGGACAGCAAGATGGTGAGACTGGTCATTCCCTTCCTGCCTCTAGTTCCGGCCGAGGCTGGGGGGAGCAGCTGGCTTGGGGTGTAGTGTCCTTCCTGGCGAGTGGGTGCCAGCTGCAGGATGAATGGACTGGCTGACTTCAACCCAGGAGACGGGAACGAGATGCTAGGCTGTTCCCTTCTTTGGCAGCTTGGGACCATGGGTCCCACACTGGCTGTGAGCCAGGGCAGATGCCTGCTGCCCTCTCGTCCTATTGAATCCATTTTTCTCCAGCCACAAAGAGCAGTTCTGTGTGTCCTTTCTCCAGTTTGCAGAGATCATGCAGAAGATTGAGGAGTACATCAGCAAACAACCCAAAGCTACAGAAGGTACCATGTGAGAATGTGTGCGCGCATGTAGGTGTGTACATGTGATATGCTGTAGCTTCTTTCTCTTCGCTATAAAGACACAACCTCCTGCAGCCCAGTGCTTTCCTAGAGCCACTTCAGGACACTGGGGATGGTAAGGGACTCATGTCCCTTGAGTCCGTTAGTCTGCTCCGTGCAGCTCAGTCTCCTTCATATGCTTTGTTGGGGTATTGGAGGTCCCTGTTAACTGCAAGGGGAGAGTGCCTCTTCCTGAGCTTTGATGTGCTCTCTGCAACATAGTACAGCACCCCCTCCTGCTGGGGTGTGGGGGGCCAGCACTGACAAGTCTTAATGCTGCCTGCTGTGCCCAGTGCCCTCACCTGCCTTGCCCAAATGACCCCTGTTAAGCTGTTCCTTGGCAGTCTGGAGCTCTCTTTGAACCCCTGCTATGCTACTTGTAACACTGTCCCTTAGTGCTGGGGCAGTGCCAACTACCAAGTGACCCATATGCTGTCTGCAGCACAGTGTCCCCTGGCAGCATTGCAGTCAGCCAGCCAGCTGATGGCTGTCCTTGTTCTCATTCTCCCCTCAGTGATGGGGCCAGTGGAGGCAGCTCCAGAGTACAGAGTCATCGTTGATGCTAACAACCTAACGGTGGAGATTGAGAATGAACTGAGTGAGTGTCCTCCTTGGGCTGGGCATTTGTTTTATGGGGACTTCGCGGGGAAATGTCTTTTCCAGAAGGATGAAGGTGGAGAACGGGCTACCCAGTTTGGGGTAAAAAGGTGTCTCCCATTTTGTCTGTCTTGTCTATGTCATAGTATCATTTTGCAGAAGTTTGGCTGGGTGGAGGGTGGGACTTCTGCTTCTGCTTCAGCTTTGGGCTCCTGGATCTGGCTGCATGTGATCTTTGGTGTCAGAGCTAAGAAAGCCCTAACTCTCCCTCATTCCTTCCCTCTGCCTTGGGCCTGGCATACAACCTCTTGTACCCAAATTCAGTATGTAGACCCTGTTCTCCCCAGCACTTGCTGTTTGGAAAGCAGCTGCTATTCTCTGTGCCCTTTTGTGTGATGACTTGATTTTCCCCCACACCATGGTGTGGGGGGGATGCGGTATCGCCTATGCTGATCTCAGAGGGAGAAAGGTGCTTTTCTCTACCCTCTTTACTGTTAGTCTCCCCTCAAGGGGAATCTGTGCTGCTGCTTATGGCGCTGTTAAGGAGCATTGGCTCCACTAGTGTCTTCCCTGCACGGATAACTTGTGTGTCTTTGCGCTCTGCCTAATATGTGGCATGAGGATGCTGCAGTTCATCTGGCACTGTGCTTCACAGCTGGGCAGAGGGTAGAACTGAGGCTTCCTGGCATTTGTTTCTGTTCTGAGTTTGGAATTTTTTGAAAGCTCCAAAAGCTTTTGAATTCAGGGATGTTTGATTGGGTAATAACTTTTTGATGTTCAGGACAATTTATGCAATGCTATATTAACATTTTTCTCTCATCTGTAAAGATAAAATATCAAAATCTAGCATGTGAGAGTGTTGCATTAAATGTTCTAAGATGGGAACAGTAATGCGCATTTAAATATACTAAAGTTCTTTACTTTTATGGAGACTGACACTGTCATGTTAAGTATGTAAAGATGTCCAGTTTACAGAGTGATTTTGCTAGTCTCAGCATGAGAAGGTCATGTGACTTAACTCCTGGTACCCATTGGATAGGAGGCTGTGGGTGGGCCTCAGAGCTGGGATAGAAGTGGAGACAGCGAGTAGAAAACCACTGCCCTCACCTGGGATTGTACCCAGGTCCTTCCAGTCTGTAGCCAGGTACCCTACTGACTGAACTACATGGCTCCCCAAATTAAACATCTATGTTAACCTAGTTATGTCACAACCATTCTCATGAAATTGTAATAATAAATGTGTGCACGATAACATTAGGTTGAAATACAAACAAATTTGTTAATGTAATGTGATTTTTTTTTTAAATGAGCTTTAGTTTTCATAAAATAATTTCAATATAAATGTCAAGGTTAATGTTAACATGTAAGTTAATTATGCTTATAAGTTTGATGAAATTATGTAAACAGACCCATTGTGCCTATCAGGGTAACTTGAGATGCCTACATATAATATTTAGTTTTAATTTAACATTTTATTGCATTGTACAGTTTAAAGTGGAACACGTGAAGACAGCTCATTTTGATGCTTTTCTATTCAATGTCTTAAATGCTGTCCTGTTTCCCCCTTGTCACAACTGTGACAAACCAGCTTTTTCTACTGGAAAGCTGTTCCTTGCAGTGTTTTAACAGTGCTGCCTCTCCTGCACATGTAAGGCTGGTTGAGTAAGTTTTATCAGGTCCTGGTGGCTTCTGTGCTGGCATCCTGAGTTATTTGAAGAGGTATTGTCTACTCTCCAATTCCAACCTACCAGCACCACTAAAAGGCTGTGCCTTTTGTTCCCAGACATTATCCACAAGTTCATTCGGGATAAATACTCCAAGAGGTTCCCAGAGCTGGAATCCCTGGTTCCCAATGCCCTGGATTACATCCGGACTGTCAAGGTACCATTGACACTTGCCAGTGCTCCTATTTACATTTAGTTTGGCTTGAGGGACTGAGTAAAGAGAGGCCTTGAGTAGGCAGAGAGGAGCTAGGACTCCTGGCTTCTGTTCCCAAGTCTGGGAGGGGACTGGGTTCTGGTGAATTTAGAGCAGGGTAGGGACTGGGAGCTAGGACTCCTGAGTTCTATCCCTGGCTCTAGAGGAGAATATGGTGCTGGTTTTTCTCGTTGTATTCCTCATCTGTGCACAACGAGGATGATAACCCTAAAGGGAGGGCAGCTAGTAGCGATGACAGATATCTAGGAAATGCCTTGAACATGACGTGTTCTTCTGAGGCTGTGGTGTCATCCCTACCCCCTGGCTGATTGTCTCGGAGGTGGGGAAGGAAGGCAAGCAGTAGTCATCCAATTGGGGTGGGAGGTGTCTTGAGGTCTGGTGGAGGGGGAAAAGCTATTGTGGGTACACAGCTGGAGGAGGACAAGGGCTGTCAGGATGTAGAGGCGCTGGTTAGGGGTGGGAGTTGGGGTTGGTGAATGGTGTACTCTGGGAAGTAGTAGTCTGTGAGCCGTGCAGGAGGGTGCCAAACCCAAGCTGGATGACAGTAGAGTAGGAAGAGTGTTGGTGTGGCTCAGGTGACTAACCTGTCACTTTGGGTGTGTGTCCTGTCTCCTTGCAGGAATTGGGAAACAGCCTGGACAAGTGCAAGAACAATGAGAACGTCCAGCAGATCCTGACCAATGCCACCATCATGGTGGTGAGCGTCACCGCCTCCACCACTCAAGGGTATGTGACTCGTGTCCCTCCCTCCCTCCAGTGGATGTCAAGGGGGGATGCTGGCTGTGCTGTGTCCCTTCGCTTGCATCTCTTTCTGTGGTACATTTTATTGAATTAAGCCACTGCCATGAGTGTCCACTCTTCTGTCCTGCTTTCCCCTTGAGGCCCATCTTAGCTTTTGGAGGCCTTTGGCTTGGGGATGCTAGGGGCTGCTTTGTGATGAGGTGGAGGGCAAAATGTATGTCTCTGCAGACTTCTCTGGGTTCAACAGCTTTTGCATGGCTGCCTGTGATCCCAGGAGGTTGTAGGGGGGCAGGGTTCTTGGGTGCTGTTATTGGTCCAGTGAGGACTCTCTGCATCTCTGCCAAGTCTGGGCCCCTCACTGTGCCACAGGTCTCCTGGGTGTGGGGAGCATGGCAGGGTCAACACTCCTTGTCCTCCTTCCCTGTAGGCAGCAGCTGACGGAGGAGGAGCTGGAGCGCATTGAGGAGGCCTGTGATATGGCCCTGGAGCTCAACCAGTCTAAGCACCGCATCTATGAATATGTGGAGTCTCGCATGTCCTTCATTGCCCCCAACCTCTCCATCATTGTTGGGGCCTCCACTGCTGCCAAGATCATGGGTGAGCTGCAGCCTGTCAGGAGGAGGGCGAGTGATTTGGGCAGGGGCTCATTCCTTCCTGGGGGCGCTGACTCTGATTCAGCTTCAGGGAGAGGTACTGGCTGGGTCAGTAGGTTGGAAAGAGGCCTTTCCCCTTCAGGTGGCACCAGCCCTAATCTAGCCTCACTTCGCGCTGCTGCCCTTGTCTTGCTCTGTTTCACTTCGTATCTTTCCACCTGCAGGGATTGCGGGTGGCCTCACCAACCTCTCCAAGATGCCAGCCTGCAACATCATGCTCCTGGGAGCCCAGCGCAAAACCCTTTCTGGCTTCTCCAGCACATCAGTGTTGCCCCACACAGGCTATATTTACCACAGTGATATTGTCCAGTCACTGCCCCCGGTATGGAACCATCTATTTCCCCCACCCCCACTACTGTCTGCCTCTCTGGTCCAAACTCCCTCACCCAGATGCTTCTTTTCTCTCTCTCCTTTTCTTTCAGGACCTGCGAAGGAAGGCTGCTCGCCTAGTTGCAGCCAAGTGTACCCTTGCTGCTCGTGTTGACAGCTTCCACGAGAGCCAGGATGGGAAGGTAGGGAGGAAGGTAGCCAGGGGAGTGGGGCCTGGTGGGTTAGAGCAGGGGGGCTGGGACTTGAGACTCCTGGGTTCTATCTCAGCTCTGGGATGGGAGTGCGGCCTGGTGGGTTAGAACAGGGGGACTCCTGGATTTTATCTCCAGCTCCAAGACATCCATGCAGGGGTACCCACATGTATAATACACGCTTCTTGCTCAGAGGCTGGTGGGCCATTCTCCAGGCTCTCCCATTTCTGCCCCTTTGAAGGTTGGCTATGACCTCAAGGAGGAGATTGAGCGCAAGTTTGACAAGTGGCAGGAGCCTCCCCCTGTGAAACAGGTGAAACCGCTGCCAGCCCCACTGGATGGACAGAGGAAGAAGCGAGGAGGCCGCAGGTCTGAGAGTGATCTGGCTGGCTTGGGGAATGGGGATAGATCAGGGGCATTTCCCCTCCTGGGGGGCATCAATCTTGATCTGGTCTGAGGACTGGGCAGCTGGTTAGTTTTGGGTGTGTGAGGGATGGAACATCTAGTAGGAAGGGGGCACAGGCAGTTCACTCCTCCCTTCTTCCCCCCCCCCCC